GATCACTTGGGTTGTTACCAACACTGTTGAAAATTTCATGTCATTAGCACCTCTAGTAATATATTTACTGAGAAAAATGTTGACGTGTTCAATACTTATTTTACCCGCTGTAATTTGAAACAAACATGGCTGCTCCCTTTTCCCTCTCAATTTTTGTTCCCTTCATCACTTGGTCCTAATTTTGTCAGCTCTGGTTTCACATTGACTTGAGAACTGATGTGCACCTGCAGACTTGTTTACTCTCAGCTACGACCACGATTAGTGTCTGTAAAACTGTCTGAGTTGTAGCCATTTTTGTGTTTTTCTAGGATGGATTAGTTGCTGCAGCCACATCAAATTAAACTGACAACAACGGTTAATGAGTTGTAGTCGGACACCCATTAGTGAGTTCCTGGACGTTTCATTCAAATCCATGCAGTGGTTCATGAGATTTTTTGCTAACAGACAAACACAGGCACCTTTCAGTGATGAGTGATAATAATGAGGCCTCGAGAAACTCCCATTGTGCGATTATAAAGGCTGGTTTTATCCCATTTTTTAATGATCTGCACAAGTAAAGAACTATTTTTGCAAGAAAATTGAACTTTTGTAATTTATGCACTGGCGTCTAATGAGACAATGTATCTAAAAATACTGCTCCGACTGTCATATGACGCAAAAAAATCTGAAAATGCTCAGATAAAATCTAAGACAAGTAAAAACAATTGTTCTCCTCGACTGAAAGAGGCCCGACACCCAGACGTTTCTGTCAGCGTAGTTTATCTTTGTAAGTCTGGGTAAAGGAAATGGCGAGTGTAAAAACTTCATGACTCTCAGAATGCGTAGCCAGATTAAAGGGTCACGGTTTGTGTTTTTTTTTTTTTTACCATCAATCCAACGTGTCAATTTAAAAAAAAAGAAAAAAAAACATCTGGGAGGAAATGTAGCCAAGAGAAATTCCATCAGTAAAACCTGAAATGAATCACTTTGAGAGCTTATTTATCATGACGGACGTACTGTGAGCTGTTTTTTTTTTTTTTTTTTTTTTTTTTGCACTCACATATTCATCATGTAGTCCTAAAGAGCCTGGGAACATGACTGTATTTATACACTGAGTGATGTTTGCCATGGTTACATTGGTGTGGTAGTATTTCATGCCTTTCAGGATTAGAATCAACTTTGTTAGCAAAATATCTCATGAACAGATTTGAATTAATCTTCAGTTTCATCGACATCAGAACTTCTACTTTTGGAATAAATTCAAGATGGCTGCCACTCTGACCTTAAAAAACAAAACAAAACAAAAAAAGGCTAAAACTCTGAAAAATTGTGGGCCTCAGTTCTGTTTGTCTGTTAGCAAAGTGTCTCATGAACCACTGGATGGATTTCAATGAAACGATCAGAAAATAATCAGTGGATGTATGCCTACAACTGATTAACTTTTGGAGTTGACACATTTTAAGGTGGCTGCTACAGCCAGCTGAATGTAAAACACACAAAATTAGCTCAAACATGGTCAAGTTTACTGAAATTGAGCTATAGTTTGCTGTGGTAGTAGCTGAGAGTTATCCTCAACCTGTGCTTTGAGCACAAGTTATTGCTCAACATACTTGCTTAACACTGTGGCATTAACGGTTGGACTCTGTCCTGTTTGTCTGTTAGCAAAATATCTCATGAACCACTGGATGGATTTCAATGAATCAATCAGAAAATAATCAGTGGATGTACGCCTACAACTGTTTAACTTTTGGAGTTGACACGTTTTAAGATGGCTGCTACAGCCAGCTGAATTTAAAACACACAAAATTAGCTMAAACATGGTCAAGTTTACTGAWATTGAGCTATAGTTTGCTGTGGTAGTAGCTGAGAGTTATCCTCAACCTGTGCTTTGAGCACAAGTTATTGCTCAACATACTTGCTTAACACTGTGGCATTAACGGTTGGACTCTGTCCTGTTTGTCTGTTAGCAAAATATCTCATGAACCAATGGATGGATTTCAAAAAGTCAATCAAAATGTAAACATTGGATGTTTGACTAAAACTGTTTAACCTTTGGAGTTAACCTGGTTTATGATGGCTGCCACAGCCAGCTAAATTTAAAAAACACACAATTGGCTATACTTCAGTGAATTCTACAGATTTTGAGCCCAAATTTGGCATGGTAGTAGCTGAGAGTTATTCGCAACACATGCTCCAAAAGCCCACAGATCACACAAAACTTCAAAATTCCACGAGGTACGTCATTTTCAAGGTTCGACCAAAACATCTACAACTGTCAATTGAACTGATTTTATTTTAAATCTCTCACATGAGAAGTGGCGGGCGAAATGCATTCCTTTAAAAAAATGCTTGGGCTTTAATTTGCATAATGTCTCCTGGCCATGAGGGACAGCAGCTCAGTCTGCAGGAATCACTTTCTGCACACAGCCACACGTGTTGAATCCAGAATAAGGCATTAAGTCCTGCTCACAGCAGGTGTTCCACCACTAGGGGGCGCGGATGAACCGTCTTCCTCCCGGAGCAGCTTTATGGACTTAAGTTAAAATAATTAGCAGCCAGAAAAGACAGTCCTGAGATGGTTGATGTGGGGAGCGGCTGGTGGAGTGAGGCGCTCTGAAGCTCCCTCCTGCAGCGAGCAGAGCCGCAGCACTTTTGTCCCCTAAATGCTCGGCGCTGTGCCTCATGAGCTGGAAAGCAGCCAGGGATTGTCTGCCTGAGGCCTCTAGGCACAAGACCAGAACTGATCGAGATATTTCTGATATTTTCCCGTCGGTGGAGCTTAAGAAGCGTCAGAGGAAACCACCTCTCTCGAGTGTCCAATTACAACCGTCAGCGTTCCTCGTTTGTCCTCTCTGTGACATTATTGCTCTTTTTTCTTTCTACCCTTAACCTTGTATTCTAAATCTAAAACGTCTTTTCTTCATCTCAGATTGTCAGGAAGCTGCACCAATTCACCTACGATCTCTTCATCCAAGCCCAGTCCTTGCAGACGCGCGTGAACTTCCCAGAGATGATCTCCGAGATCGTCAGCGTCCACGTGCCCAAGATCCTGTCAGGCATGGTGAAGCCCATCCTTTTCCACGACACGGCCTGAGCTCCTCCACCCCTCCTCCCTTTCACGTCACGAGCTCCGACGCCCAAGAAGGTGCGCGTCCAGGAGAGCTGAAACAGGCAGGCAATGCTTCTGGGATGTTTTTTATTATTATTATTATTATTATGAAGTGAAAGAAGCGACATAAGCTGTGACAGAAGGTGAGGTCTTTCTTCCAGCGTATTGTAAAAAGTAACCACATCCACTCTGCTCTTCTTGCCGCCTGCTCACTACAAGTACATCTTTTTTTTTTTACATATATATATAATTTTTGGTAGCCGATTAAAAAAAACACAAAAAAACAACAACGCATGCATTCCGTCACTCGAGCCAATGAGAGCCAGCGTGTAGACGACTTCAGCTCCTCTTACTGTTTCCTGTCAGCCGAGACATAAAGACAGTAGTGAGAAAAACACGTTTGCAGAGTTCACATCCTCCAATCGTTTTTTTTTCTTTGTGTGCTGTAGTCTGACATCTGAACTAGCTTTTTCCACAATGAGCTTTATTGTGTGCACCTGAGCTGAAAAAAAAAAACCTGTTTGATTGACAGTTAATAATAAGCAGTTGTAACTTGCATGCTGTCTCGCCTGAAGGCATAGAAAACATTTTTTTAAAAAGCTCTTCTCACATTTTTGAAAAGTTTTTTTTTTAACAACCTTCCTAATTGTTTCATTATGTGTTCCTGTTCGGTGTGTTCAATTAAACATCTTTAAAGTGACGGCAGCACAGCTACGTTTGAATGTATATTTATGAATTTCTGACATTGGGATAAAATATTTGCACCAGCAAACAGCAGAGAAAGTGAATGAACTAAAATTTCAAAAAAATGCCGTGACTTGCTCGTCAGCTAAAACAACGGTTGACTTTCTTAAAAAGAACAAACAAAAGAAAAGTTTCTGAGTGCCAAACAAGTACAGTTTTTATCAAAGTGGATATTTCATACTGTTGTGTAACTTTTCTACAGTTTTCCTAAAGGTGTTCTTTTTGCAAGTGCTTCTCCTGTGTGCCACCGTGGATTCGTTGTAGCTTACGACACTTTTGCTAAGCATTAAATGTTCGGCCAAGACTCAGCTGTCTGTGTGCAGTGATTACAGTGTTACCGTGCTGAAAAGTGTGAATGTTGGGTTGAAGGGGGAGGTGACKGCTGCTTTTTGTGCTTTTGAGTGTTGAAGAGTGGATATTATGAGTGTGTCCAAAACGACAGGCCGGGTCCTCCGAAGGTCGAATTCGTCGGCCGCATACGTCACAGCGCMGCGACGAAGGACGTCCAAAACCGAAGACTCCTCCGATGCGGCCGACAAATACGTCCTTCTTTTTCCCCGAATCGAAGGACACGTCTGATGGATCCTTCCCGGCCCAGCGTATCCCATAATGCATTGCGGCCCGACCGGAGATTTGTTTAAGCTAGTAATGGCGGACGAAGCGAGAGAAAAGAATACATTTTAAATAAAAATATGGCGATATAAATTTTTTTAAAAATTAGCGGTTGTAATTCTAATACTTTTATCATTTGTATAGACGTGTTTTTAAATATTATTTTTTCGTCATAAAAAACGCGAAACAAACATGAACCTACAGCGGGTCAATTAGTTCTTCAAATGATACTTTTAAGTTAATTTTATAGTTTTGTGATATTAATAATGCTAATGTATTGATATTTTTCTAGTTTTGATTTAAGTTTGCTTGTTTAGCGTCGTCACAGTTGCTAGGTGACATGACGTACGCCGGGGTAAGGAGGGGAGGCTAGACCGTCCAAATTCACAGCCTCTTTTTTTCCGATCTTCCCGGTCTACCAAGGACCCGGCCCGCCGCGACTGGGGAGTCTGGGTCCTCCGGAGGAYCCGGCCTGTCRTTTTGGACACAGCCTGTGAGTGTGTGTTTCAGTGAATGTTCTTTATTATTAATTCATACATCACGTATTCAAGGTTCCAGATTTTCTCAAACTGATACAAGTACTTCAGTTTGTTAGAAATTAAACATTACACAATTTAAAAACACTTATTTTTAATTCCAGCAGGCCTAAAGCCTCGCTGACAGTATCTAATCAARTATATATCATGATGTATACTGTGGTTAAATTTTAAAGATTACACAGCTTGTATGACTTAAACATGGATGAGAAACTTTTCAGTTGAAATATAAACTGTAGTGAGGTAAAGATACCATCGATATGAGTATTGGTGGAGTGGTGGTATTGAAAAAAAAATGCTATTTAGTCTCAGGACATCCCTAATATTTATTACTGCTCATTTGTTCTTCTGTTTTGTTCTCTATTTTTTATTTACTCTTCCTTCTGCTCTTTGATTTTTACACAAGTACCGTTTTACTGTTGTGATTTCTGGAGACTTTAGCATAAAACGTTCAGCTTAGTGTGTTGATGTCACACGCTGCTTTTGAGCTGTCTACATTTTCTATACTTATGCAATTTCTACATCAAAGCGTGAGTATTTTTGTCTTCTTTCACAACATTTCTCTCACTGCTTTAACACTTGTTTTCTTTTCCGAAATCCCCCCGGAGTGCAGAGCGCACACATCCAAACTCATTAACTTCTGTTGCATCTGAGCTCAGGGGCTCCTTCCCCGGCCTCTGGAACCTGATTGGCCACCCCGCCTGATTGACAAGTCACTGCATGTGGCTTTGAAAAATGTGCAAAATAATGTGTGTGAGTGACAGGAGAAACATACATGCACTCAAAAAACCAGATGTGTTGGATTGACTTAACCAAGTTATGTCCACAATCTCCACTTAACTGAGTTGACTAAAGGTGCACACAATTTTTAATTTCAACAGTAAGCTTTAAATTAGGGATTCAATGCAACAAAATGAACAAATAAATAATAAATAAAACAAAAAGTTTTATCATCCTGGCCAGTTGAGCAGTTGTCTTTAAGTATAAGAAAGCCACTGAGCAATATTGTTGAACGTCCATGTATTGTCTCAAAATAAACTACTTAACCCTTTCATGCATGAATTATGATAAACTCAGTCAGGATTTTTTTTTTACTAAGTGTTTTTATACATCCTTAGGGATGTCAAACAAGGTTTGAAATGTTTTTTCTATCTTTATTTCTTAAAGAAATAATTATCTGTACACTCAAGTGTACTTCATGTGTTTTGTACTGTAATAAAACAAATGTAATAACATTGTAATTATATAGGTATGGTTGTAATTTAGTTATACAATTGTAAAATGGTATTCTGTTGGAATGGTGGTTCCTTCACTCCTATGTAGTCCTCTCTATTTCAGCTCTATTGATAAAGTTAACATAAACATAAAATTATATTTTCACTAGGTGTTTGTTTTCATCTTTAGGGATGTAAAACAAGGWTAAAAAATAAAGATATATTCTCTCTGAACTGAGGAGAATAGTTTGACACAAGTCACAGTCTGAACTAGGGCTGCACAATGTATCGAAAATATRCCGTCATCGCAATAACTGCTTGTGCAATRTGCAAATTGCAACAAATGCATAAACTGTTTGCATTTRTGAGTTTTGTCACTCAAACGGAAGCTTGAAGTATTTCACCAATCAAATGGAGCTCTTCATATATTACTCTTCATGTTTTTAAAAATTCATACCAGAATGAAAATGATTAGTTTTGTTTCTTTGTTTGTTTGTTTGTTTTTTGCTCAGAACCCAGAGCAGAAAACATTCAATAATACATACTTATTCATTTATCGCAAGTCATATCGTCATCGCAATATTAAGCTCTGTTTTCACACATCGCAGGTTATCCTGATATCGTGCAGCCCTACTCTGAACTGTAGATCCTCATAAAATCTTAACTGTAACTGTTTTTATCAGAATGTATTCTTAAGTCTCTGATTTGAGCATATTCTCTCATAGCAATCTCTCTTATCGCATGTATAATATATATTTTTTGGCCAGACAGTGTATAAAAAATTATATATAAAAAAATCAAATTACATATAATACTATAAAGTTGATTTACAACCAAAACTGTATAGGAWATGAATTATTTTCAAGAACAACATTGGTAATAACTGATGTTGCATTGAAGTTAAAACGTAGCCAGTGATGCATGATGTACAATTGAGTGGACATGTGTTTAATCTGTATTTTCTACAAAGATAAACTCAAAACTTGGAAAATCTTTACATATTATGTCACCTTACATGTTACTTGATGTAATCATATTTTTTTTTACCTGCAATGGTATCTTTTTATGGAAGGTAGAAACTGAAATAGCCGAGGTGTTTGGTCGTTCTCCCCATCTGTCCGCCATCTTGGTTTCACTGACTATTTTTTCCCCAAGTGGGAGAATTCAAGACGGCAACTATTCACCACAACTCATTAGTGAGTAAAACTCTTTTTAATAATATTTCTGTATTATTTATTTCACATTTAGTCAGTCGTAAAACTTTTCGGTGTTTATAAGAGGACGTGTTAAACGCTGTTTCTATGTACGAAATACCACATAGAGCTCAGTTATTGTTTGTTAGCGGTGCTCGTGAGTGATGAGGCGAGAAACATGATGTTTCATTTTTAGTTGAAGTTAAACACGAAACGTCAAAAGTTAATTTCAAATGGCCCTTCGAGGGCCACCGTGAGACTCGTGTGGCCCTCGTGAAAAAGAGTTTGACACCTCTTCCTTTGGTACCAGGTTCAAGACACAAAGAAGCTCCCTTCATTTGCATGTGTCCCCACTCCTTGAAAAAAAGTCTAGCTCCGCCCCTGMTAATCTGACTAAATTAAATCTCACGGTGCGTGTGGAGTGTATTGCATCGTATAAATGATTTATTTTTATTAGGATGACATCTGTCAGATGTATTGAACTTTGACCCCCGTTAAAGGACACAGAGTCGCTCTACATTTGAGTGAAGTTACAGCAAATCAGTGGGAAATACAAGTGTAGATCTTGTTGCATAGAAAGATTACAATCATAACATACAAAACAAAACAAAGTCAACTTTTTCTATCCTCTCGTGCTTTGATCAAAATTTGTTCTTGTGTTTTTGTTTTTTGTCATTACAAATGTAGCTGTGAGGAAGAGTTTTAGTTTATTTAAACTCGCCACACTGAAAATGAATTTTCTTTAAGAGCTGCCCCGTTTGCAGTGCTGTCTGAAAGCCCCGTCTATAAAAAAATAAAATAAAATAAAATTCGGTCCGTCTGCCTGACCTCCACCATCACTTTAAGTCCCATTTCCCAAAGAATCTCTTTCAACAAGTATTTGTCCCTCTCATAAATGAACTGGAGCTGAACGAGGCTGGGATGGCAAAGAGACGCTGAAATATCACTTATTTCTAAATATATTCCCTGCTGCACAAAAGCCCATGTGGCTTCCCTTAAAAGGAGCGCCGTCTCGTAGGTTTGCAAAAGTAAAAAATGCATGTGTTGATGTCGACATTTGAACTGAGTTTAGATTCTGTTTGATTTCTGTATTTCTCCGAGTCTGCTCTGCATCAATACTGCATGTTTGTTCCAGAAGAAAGTTTTCTGTTGCTTTTTCCATTTAATTTTTTTTCCTATTGAGCAACGACGACCACAGAAAGCGTAGCCACGCTGACCGCAAATAACAACAAGCTGAAACCGTTTCCTTATGTTCATAAGGAGAGGAGATTAACGCGAGCAAAGCCAGAATGAGAATGTGTGAAGGAAGAAAAAAAACAATGCACAATTAACAGAAAAGTAAACTCGCTGAAAACTTGACACCAAAGTCACTGAACAGGTTCACTTCTGACAGAACAGGGAAATGTTGTTGCAGCAGTCCTTCCATTGAGCTATGTGTGGGGAAAAAAACATCCAGTTTCTTTTAGTTCAAAGGTTTTACATATCAGGATTTAATAAAAAATGATCTGGTCTTTATCAAGCTCAGAAACGATGCAAAATCTAACTTCAAGTGTACAAAAACACCATTTTCACCATGGCTTTATTAAACAAAGATGAAGCCAAAATGTGAAAAACTGTGTGGAAAAACTAGGTCCATTTCATGATTTAACAGCTTGTAGAACCACCTTCAGCAGCTCTCCGGGGTTGTTTTCTGATAGTATCAGTCTCTCACATGGTTACGGGGGTATTTTTGGACCACTTTTCTCTCCA